TAATGACCCACTGCTCCGGGTCATTACTAATCATAACTTTATTTATAACGCTTTCCTTCACAAAGTTACAAAGGAAAAAGGAAAAATCCAAAGTAAGTAGAAATAAAAACATCTCAAATCAACATCATGCAAAAAAAGAAGTGACAGTAAGTGAAAAGAATGAAATATGTAAAAACAATAATTCTGGATAAAACGATATAAATAAAACATGTATCAGACTTTACCAAAGGCTGAGACAAAGACGTGTGTTTGACGAAGAGATTTAACAGCGTCTGGTTTGAGGAGAGTTCCAGAGTGAACGACCGCTCACCTTTAGTCACAAGCCTTGACCTTTGGGTGACCAGCAGGCCTCCTTCTGCCGATATCAGTCCTCCGTTGGGCACATACCGTGTCAATAAATCAGTGATGTAATTGGGGGCAGAGCCATTTAAGGCCTTTAAAGTCAGCAATAAACTTTTAAAATTGATCCGAAATCAAACAGGGAGCCAGTGAAGGGAGGCGAGCACCGGAGTCATGTGACCGCACCTGTCGGTTCCAGTAATCGGACGAGCAGCTGCTCCAGCTGGAGACGGTGGAGCGAGGCCTGGCTGGTACCTGAATAAAATGCGTTACAATAATCAAGTTTTTAGATCAGTGATTGATGAAAATGATCCTGAGCTGGTAAAACACGTGCACCTGGTCGCAGAGGCCGTTAGGGAGCGTTACACGTGGTGGTGATGGATACTTCTCTAATTAAGATCTCATGACTAATTCTAGCAGTAGTCGACTCACCTCTGGCTCCGTGGCCTGAACCGGACGGCACCTCGCTCTAGGCCGTGTTAACCCTTTCATCTACTCCCACGTCTCTAACCCAGGATACCCATCTGTCTAATCATTTGATCATCAGAGTCATTTCAGTGCAGCTCTAGGCGATGGGAAGCCGGCGGGTAAATCCTGTTTGCCTCTCTGTCTCTGTAGGAGCTGGAGTTGTGTCGCAGGCTCTATAAGCTGCACTTTCAGCTGCTGCTGCTCTTCCAGGCCTACTGTAAACTCATCAGCAGGGTGGACACCATCAAGAGGGAGGCAGAGGTGAGACTAAAACACACCCCGGCTCCAAGATGAGCTCCATGTGCATGAATACGCTTGTTGTTTAGTTTTCACTGAGAACGTCTGCAGCGCATTTCACATTCAGTGGGAGTTGAAGTTCGTCTCAGTGAAACTGACAGTTTATCTGCTTCATCTCCGTCGCCAGAGAAACAAGAGCAGACAAATAGAATTACACTGCGTCATGCGCTGTGTTCCACTCGTGTTGTTGCCTCACTGTCTCTGTTTCATTTCTGGTTTTTTTTCCTTAAAAATATGTTTAAAGTTTAATTTTACATCAATTGCCACTAAGTTGTTTTATAAAACCCAGTTCAGGTGTTGGTTAAATACGTGATCGTAGCTGAACTTGTACAGCAGCTGATCCGTCTCCCGGCTGCATCTTGATGGAGCTTTAATTAGATTAAATTAGATTTAATCAAGAGCTTTATTTTGCTGACTTCCTGTGTAGATTTTGCACACGCAGTGCCAGTGATATTAATATATTTGTGTTTGCGTTTCCAAGGTGACCAACATGTCTGAAGAACTCACTATCCTGGAGAGCTGTTTGAAGGAGGCAGAGACAGGAAATGACAGTCAGGAGGATGTGTGTATGTCGGACACTGCCCAGACCAACACAGAGACGGCCATCCAGTCTCTGATCGAGACTCTGAGAGGCAGAGACTTCAGATCCGCCCTCACACAGGTCAAAGTCTTCAGGTGAGACGGACCGCAACTTATATTATATTTTCTGTGCTGATATAATAAGTCAACTGATAAAAAAAAAAAATAAAATAAAATGTTTGACTAATTGATTATCATAATAATCATTAGCTGAATGAATAAGATGCAGTGGTTTTCAGGTTCCTATTACACTGAAGTTTTATTACTATAATGCTGGTAAAATCACTGTGACCTCACTAAACGGCCATAACTCACAAATTCATTCACTAATTATGACACAATTTAACTCAAATATCTAACAGGATAAAATGAAGTGATGACATTTAATATCCACGTTGGCCATCACTCAGCGCTGTAACTCAGGAAGGAGAGACTGTGACCATGTTTCCTGTAACTTCACTGTTATTGGAAGGAACAACCACGAGGGGGATTGTAGTTCTCGAGATCTGAAGTTTCTGCTCAGACCTGAAGCTGGTTAAAAGGGGGAACCAACGACTGCAGTGGACACTGGACTGTATATATGAATATAAACAGACACCTGCTTAGTAAAAACGTGTGTCTGGCTTTCTGTGTGATCACACCTCATGTTCTTCAACATCTTCTAACCTCCACCCTCCGTTGTCTTCAGGTCTCTCTGGCCCAACGACATCTTCGGCAACGAGACAGATAATGCAGTTCAGACCCTTCTGCACATCTACTTCCGTCACCAGACGCTGGGCCAGACGGGCTGCTTGGCGGTCGTGGGCCCCAGCAGGGACCTGTCTCAGGCGAGCACCCGCCTCATGGAGCTCAACCTTCAGATCCGTGAGGCTCTGAGTCAGGCGCAGGCCTGCCAGCCCCACACCACCATGGTCAGCACTGGACTGTGAGCCTGTGGTACGGCAGACTAGACTGGACAAAGTACCCCCCCCCCCCCCCCCCCCCCCCCCCCCCCCCCCCCCTGCTCTCTGCAGACCTCCCCGCTGCTGCAGAGGGAGGCTCGACAGTGAGGGGCTTCACAGGAGGACGAGAGAGACTCCACCTTTAAAGGGCTAAAGGATGTGTGGGAATAACTGTGACTCTTGATATGTATTATTACATGTATGAATGCTTAAAGCTAATATCTTTTCCCAGACTAAGCCAACTTGCAAAATTCAGTTGCAATAAGTCATGTGGTGGTGTGGCTGGGAAAGAATAGAGAGGACGCAGTGGGATGATACTTTTTTTTTTTTTTTTTTTTTTTTTTTTTTTTGTTTCATGATTTTTAAGATATTTTTTGTTGCTGGATCTGACCTGATGAGCATATCGTACCGACCGCTGGGCCCCCCCCCCCACCCCCCACCCCGGGGCCTGGGCTGGGAGATGGTGTATGTGAGCATGTCCAGAGGAGGTGTCGTATGTGTGAGGACACACCGTCACGATTCATAAGCAAAACACAGAAAAACCTTGTTTAAAAAAAAAAAAAAAAAAAAAAAAGAAGAAAAACAAAAAAAAAAAAAAGTTTTCCAAAGCATGCTTGAAAGAGAAAAAGCACTGCAAGAATATTTTTTTGAGAAATGTATTTTTTATTAGAGCTAACATCCTAGGTTGTAAATGTTAGGATATTTAACATGTAATTGTAACCCTGTAGGGATCGTTTGCCTTCAGGGAGTGTAAAAAGAGAAATATATCTGTTTATTGATCTGCTTTGAGAGGAGAGTCCCCTTCAACAGGTCTTCACGCAAAACTCACTCTTAAACCAAATAAGTAGCTGCCTTTAGAGACTCTTGACTGTGTGATATATATTGGATATTCTGGTATACGCTCACACACAAATGCATATAATTGCACACAAGTGCAGACTGGCTACAACTCATTAAGGAAACATAACTTATTTTACTCTGTATATATTTTAGAAAATGTATAGTGTAAAACCAGTATTTTTCCCTTGTACTTTTGTGTAATGCACTGTTCATCCGAGTAGGATGTATGTATAAAGCTAATGTGATGAGAGAAAGCCAAGACCAGATCTGAGTCATTAATGATCCGCTCCACCCTCCTCATCCAATCACTTCAAAATTTCCCAAAGGCTGCCTTGGTTGGTGGTGGTGGTCTTCCAAAAGTGTGTGTGTGTGTGTGTGTGTGTGTGGGTGTGTGTGTGTGGGGGGGGGTATCAGGGCTCATTTGGGGACAAGCCACCTGTCTGCCTTTGTGATGGTGATGGCATGGGAGATCTAATGTAGCCTTTTATCTCCCGTCTGAACGCACCACTCCAGCCAAGACACGTCATTCGCATTCCTTCTCTCCACTGTGATCTTTGTGTTGGCACCGCAGCGCCACGCCTCATGAGCGGGAGACTCGAGGTTTGTGTTTGTCCATGTAGGTTGAACACGTTGCGGAGCAGCGCTCGCCCTCTGCCACATTTTGATCCCGTGTTTTTTTTTTTTTTTTTTTCCCCCCCTCTTCCCCGTGGGGAAATGGCTGTCGTTGAAGCTGCGCTACGCTTTCAGAATGGCCCTACTTGCTGCTGTGACTGCAGGACATGAACCGTTACCTGAACGCTTTCTGGAAATCTTGTCATGGCACATTGTAACAGTCACTGTACTCATTCCTCAGAGAGCTTTTTTTTTTTTTTTTTTTTTTTTCCTGCTTGTCTGGTACATTTGAATGCTGTTCTTAATTATTTAATGAATATATTATTTACCTGGAAGACGTTTTAATGTAGAGGTGCATTATACTTTTTTTTTTTTTCCTTGTTCACTCACATACCAGCCTTCTCTCTGGATAAATAAAAACCTAATCATACAATTTGACTTTGGTCGTAACTTGATAAATTGTGGAAACACGATTAGCGTTTGAGGTTTATTGAGGATAAGAAGCCCCCCCCCCCCAAAAATCACTGAGGCCTTTGTACAGACAGATGCTTGATTAGAGCAGCAGACATGAATAGTAGTCTGGTTCTTAATGGTTCCACTTGGCATCTGAGTGCAGGTGCAACAGCAGTTAGTTCTCACTGACAGGGATTCAGCCTCAGTTAACCCCTGGAAAAGCAGCCATCTTAAAACTTAATCCTCAAGAGTCAGTTTGAGTTTAATATAATTACACTGAATGTTTCCTTTTCCTGACATCAGTTGCATTTCCTGTTACTGAAAGCCTGAGACAGAGTGAAAACACTTGAGTGCATGGTTGGCATTTATTACATTGGGTCTTACCTTCAATTTCATCAACACAAAAAACAGGCATGAAATCAAGTAGGGAAACATCAAAATGTATATTTGCTCTACATCAAAGATGTCATTATTCCATCTGTGAATATGGCACTGGGCCGGGGATGCTGCCCCCCCCGCCCCCCAGGACTTGTACTGATGTATTCAAGGCAGAGTTCAGTGGAGCTGGCCCTCAGATGATGTATTTGAAGCTGAACGTGCTCTCACAGGAGAGACGCTTGCCTTTGCATCTGCCACACAAGTCCTGTCTGTGGGGCCGTTTGGGGTCGACGTGGCGTTGTGTTATTGCACAGCAACAACGCGCTTTGTTGCAAGTCTGGAGGAAAAAATATTAAAAAATAAAGTGGGGGTGAGTTTAGTATTGACACATGGGCTGTTTTAATTTTACAGAACAAAAGGAGAAAGGTTTACGTGACATGTGATGTCCTCAACACGATATGGGTTGAAGTCCTTTTGGCATTTCCTACAGTACTGCTTGAAGTAAACCTGGAACACAGAACCTCAGTTAGGACGGGGCTCTTACTGTAGCGTTGACATGTTGGATGTCTAATTAGTCAGTTTAGGGTTCCTTGATGTGAAGTTTGAGAACCACTGCCTTAGATACAAGTGCTCACCTTGTTGGTGCCCTGAACGCACCACACATAGGCACTCTCCCATCGCAGATTGCATTCTCTGCAGTGATAATATCCGTACTTCTGTTCCAGAAACTGACACAAAAAAAAAAAGCCAAGTCATTGTTTGTTCAGTCATGAATTTTAATATTTGATTTAATTATTTAAAATAAGAAAACTTCCACATTTGATTTTTTTTGCTCTGTTGATTCTGCAGAGCCCAGCTTCTTATCACATAAAATTCACCCCTTATTGAATCTGATCAAATAGCTTTAGTTTTCCCCCCCTTTTAAAAACAAACAAAACACAAAGTGAATTAAAAACTCAAATAGTGAGTTTTATCTACATCAGTATTGTAAGGCCTGGTTTACAGCTCCATATCCAGGTCATGACTGGACTCATGAGTCATGCAGCTGCTTCAGGAGCATAACATCTGTAAAGGGGCTGTAACAGATTTAATGTTGTATAATACTGTAAAAATATAAACTTTTAAGCAGGAATTAAACAAAAAAAGGTTTTCAGAGAGGAAGTCCGTTTTGACCTTAAAAAGAAGGCAGTTAACATGGCATGATAAACTTAACTTTCCTCCATCTTGAAGTGAGCCCCTCCCCCTCCCTGCTCACGTGACAAAACTCACCTGGAACCGCACGCGAGCCTTGTCCTGTGAACTCTCATCGTCGCTCTTCACCTGTTTGGACTTGAGCTTATCGCGCTGGTCGGGGAGCTTCTGGGTCTTTTCATCCTCAGCAGGCTGAGTGTGTTCGCGCCTCTTCCCCAGGGACTCGGGCGGGTCACCGGGCTGCGCCTCCCCGCAGGAGGCTTCCTTACTGTTGTTGTTGTTTTTGTTGTTGTTGTCGTCGTCGTCCACCAGGAAGGAGGTGACGCTTCTGTATGCGATAGGGGAGTACACGGCGAGGGTGCGGGGGTAACGCACACCGCCCGCCGCCGCCGTCGCCGCCGCCTTGGGACTGCTGCCGCTTCCGCCGCTTCCGCCGCTTCCGCCGGGCTCCTGCCTCCTTCTGCGCCGGAAGTCCCGCTTCATGGACAGGAGCGTCCGCGGACCGATGGAGCACTGCACCGAGGCGTCTCTCTTCGGGTTCACCTGCACCGCCACGTCCTTGGTGTTCGCCTTCCGGAGCCTCGGGGTGAGTTTGGGGTTGATCTGGGATAAGATGGACTTGAGCTGCGCGCGCTGCTGGTTGTTAAAGGCGTCGGTGTCCCCATAGTGATGGGACAGGTAACTTTTATACTTCCACCTGGCGTCTTTAGCTCTGGGGTATCTGCCCGTGTAGGGGTTGTAAGAGGAATAGAAATAGCTGTCGACTGGCTCGTCACCATACGTTGCCATTTTGTTCAACCAACCAACAGCTGTCAGGTGTGGCCATTTAAATAGACTGGGTTACACGCGCCCTCCATTAATGCTGATGCTGGTCAGGTGTGGAGCTGGTCTCCTCTCATCAAAGACACCGCACACGTGACGAAGGTGTACAAGTTTCACTGTTTTTATTTTTCTTGTTACAGTTGTTTATAATATGAACAGATTGTACATTTAGTTCAGCCTGTTTATGGAGCACAGACACTGGACTGGCCACACACACACACACACACACACACACACACACACACACACACACACACACACACACACACACACACACACAGCTTTAACCCTTTGAGGTCTTAAGGTACTTGCATATAAGATAATAACCAAGTGTTCAGAAAGATCTCAGCTCCTTCTGCAACGAGGCGCCTTCATTTAATTTTTTCCCAAACACTGAAAAATTGAAGCCCAGTTTTTTTTTAATTCTTCAAATCTCTTGTGAAAACAAACCTTTACTGATGTGCATGAATTGTTTTATGCTCACGAGGCCGAGTAAACAAAAAATGGGACTGTAACTTGCTATTCTGCACAATACTCATATTGTTTATTTATTTATGTAAGTTTACACCTTTTTGTTCTCTCTTAATTGCACTAAAACTTCATTCATAAGTTGTTGTCTTCACCAGTCTACCTGTGGACATTTAAGTTAAGATTGTTTAATTTAAAATAAGTGCAGATCTATTTGCGGACAACTCAAACAACAGTGTTCAATAAATGTTCAGCAAATGTTACGTTCAGCAATTTTGTGTCTTATTTGTTATTGTTGTTAAATTCTTGTATTTTATCTAAATAAATATCAGCATCGGCCACTGAAAAACTCATATCGGTCGATCATTAATGAGAAATGCCTCAAATGAAAAGTGTCGTCTGTCACTCCAAATCATAGAGGCCTCCTGGCTCCGCCTGTGAGTCACGTTCAAGCTCACTAGAATATGAGTCGACAGATTCCAACAACATTAAATACAAACCATATTTCTACGCTGCATTAACACAAACATATTAACATCGACCTCAGAGGGTTAAAGCTCTGAAACTAACTGCAGCTCTGATGGTGTGATGGTTAACGTCACTTTCACTTTACAACAATGTCTTCAAACATTTTGGTGTTTTGTTTTTTGTTTTTTTTTTAATCAATATATTAAGACATGAATCATGTTTACGTTGAATGAATGAAGCTTATGACAGAAGCACCTTTCCTCCTCAGTCACTCTGGGTGTCACTGACAGTGTCCCGTCTCTCCAGGTTTTTCTTTATGAATGACAGTGATCGACGGTGTGAATCCACCTGCAGATGTGACTCTGCTTTTCTTTGCACATTAAACAGGGGTCGGATCTGGAGGACAGGGGTCCAACATGATGGTGTTTGGGTCACTCACTGTCACAGCACCATAAGATGAGTCAAAGTCCTCATCATCATTAAACCTTTGATATGTTATGTCTGTGTCCTCGCCGTCCCCCATCCGCTCCGGTTTGTGCAGGGACTCCTTCCTGTACATCCTGTAGGCCAGGATGAAGATGCCGGCCTCGGCCGCTTGGAACAAGGCGTACAAGAGCGGGAACATGTACATCCCTCCTATCAGCTGAGGGGGGAAGGCCAGCTTCAGGATGGCGGTGCACAGCTGCACGTTCTGGCACCCGGTCTCCAGGGAGACCGACCGGCGGCAGTTGGGCGGCAGGTCAAAGAGCACGGCCAGACCGTAACCTGCGGCGTAGCCACACAGAGGCATCAGCACCGCCACCACGTAGACAGAGGGCGGGATGGTGGACAGCAGCTCCGGCCCCAGCATCGCTCCGGTCAGGATGAAGAGCGTCAAGAGGGTGACGAGCAGAGACCACAGGGAGGCCTGGGGAGACACGGTAAACAGGATGAAGGTGATTTTCTCTTCACACGCAGCTGTTTTCTACAACAGGACACGTTTTTGATTTCTTCAATTTTATTCTGGTTAAAGGGATTTTTATGTTTTGAGTTTTTCATCGTCTGAACTGAGGCACTGAAAGGAGGGAGTCACGTGTTGTCAAGACTTAAGTGATAAGGTGAAAACTGGGCTGGAACAACACAGGGCTGCACTCAGCTCCTCAGCTGCTTTAAGTTACGGTCTATTAGAGCCCCCCCCCCCCCCCCCCCCATGTGTGGCTTTTATCAGAAACGAGAGGGAGGAGCTCTTCCTGACACAGAGCCTGTGATGTCACTGTTCCTGCCGTCACCCCACCCACCCTCCGTATGGTGACAGGCACAGACAATTACGCAGTGCGCTTTTGCGCAAAGGTGATCCTCAGCCTGTAAGCACAACACTGAATGACTTTAACTGGATTCACTGATTAAACTTATTCACAAACCGGAAAAGTAACTTTGACATTTTGCTCTTGAATTACCTTCAAAACAATGTCGGCCACGCGCGTGTAGCGGTACCTCAGCAGAACTCCTAAACCGATGGGGATGAGAGTGCTGCACAGGGTCAGGATGATGGCCCCGAACGGCATGAGGTTGACCACAGGCGTGTTGATCCAGGCCCGGCTGTAGATCCACAGACACAGCGGCATCAGCACGAGCGCCAACAGAGTGGAGGATATGGTCATGATGATGCTGGGGAGAGGAGAGCAGACACGCGCCGTTAGAGCAGAGCAGGGTGGATCATCAGTGACCATCGGTCTCACAGAAACATCTCACTGAGTAGAAGTTTAGTCAACAGTAAAGTTTTCTACTTTACACCCGCGGGTAACCTGCGGAACCTTTTACGTAAATGATAGTTGGACCTGGTGAAATGATTTTACAGGCTCATCACTGACTACATGTTGTTTCTATGGGTGAGGACGGGAGATGTACCTTAGATTCATCTCCCCGTGCACCAGCAGAGACATGATATTAGACAAGTTTCCTCCCGGGCAGCAGCCACAGAGCAGAACGGCCATCGCTGCCACACCATTCAGAGAGAAGGCTAAAGCCAGCAGGAAGGCCACCAAGGGCATGATCACAAACTGACACACCAGCGCCAGCAGCACCCCGATGGGTCTGCGGATGTGCTCTCCCAGCTGACTGACCTCCACCGTGCAGCCCAGCCCCAGCATCGTGAAGCACAGGACAAGTCCCACAAACACATTGATTCCGTGACTGAGCGGGGAATCCCAGAAGGCGGGCATCAGGTGAGAGGATTCCGTCGGCGGAGCGGCCATAAACTCCGCTCCGGCGCCAGTCCTGAATCCGCTGCCCTCGAGAAAGATGGCACCCCGGGCCACTCCTAATCCAGCCGCGGCTCCATCCTCCGGAGAATCCACAAGTAGCTTCAGAGTGTCCGGCATAAGAAAGTCCATCAAGCCAGCTCTTTGTGCGTCGCCGCCCAACAGGCTGGAGTTCTCCATGGCGCAACAGGAGGACAGAGAGTCTCCGCTGCCGGTCTGTACCTGCAGGAGCTCGTGCGTAAAATGATTCCCCTAGTGGCGCGCTGTCACTAATGAGAAACAGCGGAGGCTCCAGTGGTCAGAGGATGTGATGGTGCCATGGCACTGGAAGTCTTAAAGCGACTCACGGAGTCAGACTGGTGCCACGGATTGGTTCCCTGACAGACGCACATCGCTGGAGGGGAGTCTGCACACGGTCTGCAGCTTCAGCCACAGAGCAACGACCAATCAATAACGCCCAGGCTGCCCTTTTATACTGAGCCCAGATCGGTTTAAGGAGAAAGGTCCTGAAGATATCAATCTAATTATTACATATTGACAGTTTCCCAGTTGGACAATGACACCCAGCCAATCAGAAGCTGCTCTGCCCCTCATGTTCCTGAGCGTTTGGAGAGGAGATGGTCGAAGTGACGCTGTGGTGGAGAAAACTCTGCTCTTCTTTATACTTGTGCAGCAAACTATGAAAATCTGCCTCCACGTTTCTTTTGTCGGCCTCATGTTTCTGACATGAAGCGTGCGCGTGACGTGGCTTCATCTACATCTGTTTCCCACACACACACACACACACACACACATACACATGTATGATTTGTATATGTTCTTACATCAACTGGGATGTTGCCATATATGTTAACTATAAGGAAATATATTATCATCACATATATTCATTCTCTGGATACATAAGTTAATAACATATATGAAATACCCATAGTTAGAATATATATATATATAATGCATTTTTATATGGTATAACATGTTGCAAACATAAATGTGAACAATATATATTTGATTTATAAACGTTTATTAAAACATAAATATGAAATTCTATGTTTATATATATTTTTCTTATTAATTTCTCATTGATTTTAAACATCTCTTCTCACTCTGGGAAAGTGTTTGTTTATAATATCAACATATACTGACCGGCTTTAGGGTGGATATATATTCATGTGACATGTCTACAATATAAACATACAAACATATTTATATGGGTTAGACATACTGTATATGTCAATATATTCAATTATTCCAATTTCTAGTTTTATACTTTTTATATAGTTGGTTTTATTTAACATGTATTTCATATGTGCAGATTCCATGTATATAAATATATTACATTAGTGTGTCTGTATGTTCATGTTGGGTTTAATAAAAGATTAATAATGTGTTGTTGTTGCTCAGTGTCACCAACGTCCAGAACTGATTGTGGACTGAGATAAAAAAATATAACGTGACCATTTTTAATGCACTGTGGAAAAAAGTGTAGAAATCTTTGAGCAGTAGAAACACTCCCGGTGTCCGACACTATCGATCCATTATCCTCTAAATATATCGATGAAGAGTCTGGCTGCTTCCTTAATTGATGAGCCGATTAAATTCTAGTTATGTGTTTAAACAACACATCAAGTTTCACCAAATAGAAATAATAATGCAGTTAATCCTCAGATAACTGATCCTGCTTCAGTCTAACAGACCCCACAGGACTACGGTTCTTCTTCTTCTTCTTCTTCTTCTTCTTCAGGTCAGACAGTGTAAACAGTATCTTGTCTCCTCACAGTAATATATCATCATCACATTCAGTACAGCAGCATCTCTCCTGTGTTAAAGGAGCTTGCTCTGTGGGATTTCAGTATATATCTGTGTGTGTGTGCGTGTGCGTGTGTGTGTGTGTGTGTGCAGAGCTGTGTGCTCAGAGGACGTGAATGCTGTGACGTCACATGTCTTCAGGGCACCGAGGCTGGAGAGGGATGGGACAGTTTGCACCAGTCAGTGACTCAGGCTGTCTCCGGCTCTCTGTCTGCCCCCCCACCCCCCAATAATTAACCAACGAGTGAATCCAACCTTTTCACTGAGTGATTTACGTGTCAGTCTGAGCACAGAGCAGTTTATAGCAGCTGGAAATCCTGCAGTGAAGACCTGAGAGGGACGGACTCGTACACTGAGAGGACAGAGGACAGAGGACTGCACTGAAAGTGTCTCAGGGTTTGTGTCCTGCTCCTCAGTTATGTTCACTCTCTCCTCTGCGCTGACCTCACAGGTTACCCATCCCGTCACTGTCATAATTTAACATCAGTGCATCATTTCATGTTTGAAGTGGTTAGATTCTTCCAGGAAAGCCGGGAAAAAGGTTAAAAGTTGATCTTAGTTTAAGATCTGACATGCAGGATGATGAATGAATGAATGAATGAATGAATGCTGTTCGTCTTTTGCTGTCTCAAAGTAATCCAGTGCTTTTATTATTTTTTAAATCTGCGTGAAGTTAAAAAGAAAAGTGAGAGAAGAGAAGAAGTTTTCAGCTTTTATTTGAAATGTGACTTTACACAGGGAAACTGAATGTCATGTTTGTGGATATAAAAAAAAGCTCAATAACAAAAACTTTCACACAAAAGGTGTGGTATGTCTTTTTGCAACATTCGTTCTAGCTTCCCACTGAATCTGAGCTTTGACAGAGGCACCTCTCTCTTTAATAAATAGTTTCATTTACAGAATGAGCAATTAGTTATAAATATGAAGGCGCATATTAAACTTTTTTTCTTTCTTTTTTTTTTTTTAAAGCAATTATAAATGTTTTGATTCAATTACAAAAAAAACAAACAGGCGAGCAAATCAGTCAAGCAGAAATGCAAAACCGCAAAGAAATTGGCACAAAATGATAAACATACAAAACAAGATGTTCAAACTCAAGTGAAACTTTAAATTATAGGCACTAGTTTTAAGAACACCCAGCACACCAATTACCAGAACAGCTTCCCTAACACTGGCACACCTTTTGATTTATTGTCATAGCACAAGAGGTAAAAGCCAGCCAAAGTTTATTCAACCTGTCGTCTTACTCCAGATATATTTTTCCATTTATTTTCACGGTATGAATGATATACACGGACAAATCTGCGGTGGGAATTTAATGAACAACATCAAAGATTTCTCGGTTACATTGGCTGAATGGGTGAACGGGGATAAAAATATGTGTTTGAGCTCAGGTTTCTTTCTCGACAGATGAGAGTTTGTTTGAGGCGTCAGATATAACTCGCACCTGAACTGAAACTTGACCGATCTAAGCACTTCGATGGAAAAGTATAATCTTGGCAAAGTGTGGTACAAGTCGGGACTGAGGCTGCGGCCGAGGTGTCATCGATCACCCGGTCCCGACTTCACAACAACACCCAAAAAAAAGAAAAAGAAAAAAAGAAGGCTTTGGAGATTTAGCTTGAAATTGAGGTTCAAAAAGTTCATTTTAAACAACTGAATTCTTAAAACAAAATACTGATATGGATGTTTGGACATACACTTCTTTAAATAATTTGAATAAATAATTTCCAAAACAAACTTGTGCATACATTCTGGCTGATTTTACAAGAGGAAAGATTCTTAAATGTCATACCCACACTGAGGTGCTTTCAACTGTTGCAAGACATCAATAATTCTCTAACGTTTACGGGGACAGTTCACCTGCACAGCATCATCATAGAGATCGCTCACCGACATCTGTTGAACACAGAGCATAAAGAGAGAAATGCATGGAAACATTTCAACCTGAGGGAGGTGAAAGAAGAGCGGTGGCAGAGGAGTGGGAGGGAAAGCTGGGCGATGTAGTGATATGACCGTCTGACACATGACTGCAGTCAAACCAAGGCAGGTGACGTGTCCTCTGCTGGCGGAGCTGGAGTCGGGCTGGTTTCTTTGGCATTTTATGGGCTGTTTGCACGACATGCCTGACCCCTCCAGTGCCAGTCCCCACAGAGAAGGATGATGGGACACCATGTGGACACTGTCCTCCCCTTTCCTTTTTCTTTTTCTTTTTTTAAATTCTGATTTGTATATAGTTTAGGGACAGTCTCTCCGTATCTCTCTTCGCTGTAAAAGTTGTCTAGCTAGATAAAGTGCCATGTTGTGATGTCTGCCTCCTTGTGTTGATAGTTTGACTGGAGAGCCCCCTGCTGGCCGCCCTCAGTAACAGCCTTCTCTCCAGTTGTCACCGGCGCCGCCGTAGGTCCGAGGAGCAGGAAGAGACCTGAGGAGATTCCAGGTTTGATGCCTGTTACATTCTGTCTGCACGAACACTTACAGAAGTACAGCATGTTTGTGGTGAAATACACATAATATAATAATATATAAATATAATATATATATATATATACATACCTGCGCACAGGCTGTGCCAGCTTGCTGCGAGGCAGAGGGATGCCCCCTCCCCCTGAAACACTGGGACGGGGGAGGCCACTGCGCGGAGGAGCCAGGGAGCGGGAGGGGGTGGAGGTGGCAGAACCAGGGTTGGGTGTGGCCTTTACCGGCTGCCTCAAGGCGAGCGGGGACGGGGTGGCGGGAGTTCGCAGTTTACTGGGAGAGGGGACTGGAGACAGGCAGAGCAGCATTACAGACGGGTACAACCGGATTGTGTTCATCTTAATGCACGTCTATAGGTTTCAGTCTATCAGTCTAACAGTGAAGTAATGATCAAGAGCACAATGGTATGAGGTAGTTATACACTCAGGTGGCAGTTTATCACGTACACCTGGCTGAAACTAATGCAGTCTAATCCAACAGGCCTGGAATAAATCCTCCTCCACAACGTTATAAAGTTTGTGAACATAAAGTGATTTCATTGAAACCTTCATGGAGGAGGATTTACTGCAGAGCTGGTCTATAAAACTGTAGCTGGATGTACCTAATAAACTTCCAACTGAGTGTAAATATGATGCTTATACACAAAAATCTATTGAACAAATGAAAACATGTCGGTCTTGATTAAAGATATTCATCACAAATTCACAAATGAAGTCAAACCTGTTACAACGAAAGTTTAGAAACTGATAAATTTACTAAAAACTTAATAAATGAATGAATAAGGTCAACTATCAGAGCTGCTGTGATTCTGGATGTGTTGACAGAATGAGGTGATACACACACAGCATATACTAGTGAAAACCGGCAGCACAACATCAATACAACCACGGCGTGGAACCACAATCACAATATTTAAAAAAAAGAAAGAAAAAAAAAAAAAGGTGGAAACCCTCAGTGAATACTCACTGAAATCACCTTCTTCTCCAAAGCAACAGGAGAGTGGGACTAGACAAAGACGAAGACAACAGAGACAGGCCTTAAATCAGAAGAGCTGGGAGGAAGGTGCGGAGGATGGGCGTTCATGTGGCGCCTCTTACCGCCTGTTTGTTATTTCACAAACTGTCACGTCACATGACTCTTGACCAGTGTGAGCACCGACTCCTGCCACGTGGCGAGTGACCTCTTGAGGTCATGGACAGTGATGCTGTTACAGTGAGGCGGGGGGGGGGTTAATAGCATGTTAGACACACGCTGCTGTTACATCTGTAACACCTGGATTAGTGATAGTAGAGGTATTGTGAACACAATACTTCTGCAAAGGATTCTGTGCTGGAATTCATCAGGTTGTAGATAAACAAACTTTATGAGGTACACCTCTACAGTACAACTGATTTATGTCTACAATATGTTATAAACTGCATTATACTGAGTGTTTCTAATAATAAAATAACATAATATTAACGGATTATTAATGTGGCTTATTCATGATCTTTATATATTTCCAATAATGTCACCAAAAGCTGAACTTTGTACAGGTGTACCTAATAAAGTGGCCACTTGGTGTACAGAATATAAACATTTTATATTATTAAAATATAAAAATGGGATGCAGCAAAATATTAATACAAGACAGAAATGACTGTTGTGAGTTTTTACAATGAAGAACAGTGAGTTAATTCATTCGACAGCTAACTTAAACCACACTAACCCAGTTAATTAACCTCAACTAACTCAGACTGTTTAGGGGAAGATGTTGTGAAAATGAAGACCACCGACTTGTTTCTCTGTCAGGTGACTAACAGGGAGATAAAAGCATCACATGACCAGCTGAGTAACGAGGAGGCTGAAGTTTACTCTGGTGAAAAATGTCAACTAAACGCTAATTGTTTTTAAAACTCGATGATGATTCTCGGCTTCCTGTTTAATGTATTTTAAAATATGAGCCAACGACATAAATGCACAAAGACACAGGAGCCCGTCAGGCTGAGGTGGTACTTCCAGTCCAGGTTCAGGCGGCTGTAAGGAAGGACAGAGGAACGACAGGTGTGTTGTTATATAAGCAGGTGGATCTGAGTGACAGTCGTGGACTTTGGAGCAGCAACAGCAAAGAATCGCTGTTTCCACATTACTGAGGCCATAAGACTGATTTTATACTTTTATAGCAACGGCTCGACGCGGTCCTCTGGTGAATCAGCTGTTTACACTGTGAATCTTAAAGCCTGTTAGTGTGGGGACACACCTGTCAACATCTGTCTGACCCTCCCTGCTCTGCCGCCATGTTTTCTTTTTTTTTTTCTTACAAAAGAAAGCGACAAAACTGAAGCTGAAGCTGAAGTCAGAGTTCCCCCAAGTGCATTAATGCACCTTCCTCAGATCCGTTTCAGATCCACACACTGAAGCTACGTCACCGTTTACATCTCCCCTGCATCAGCTGTCTATACTCCCAGTACACAGGTAGCTGCCTGTAGATACAGTACATCATAGATTGTGCATGTGTCTGTGTGTGAGATCGATCTCACAGCCTCCAGCTGGTTCAGGAGCAGGCTGTTACCTCGCAGGGCAGTTGGGCTTTGGAGGTGCTGTTTGGGTTTCGGGGAGGAGCGAGAGGGGGTGGAGTATCTCGGGAGTTGAGCTGCTGCTGGAAAACAGGGACATTTCAACACGGGAGTCAAGACTTGATTCTGCCTGAGATTCACAGCATCACTGGAGAGAGAAAGGAGGCTGTCGAGGCATCCAGAAGCCATACAAGCCAGAGGTGCAGTTTGAGGCCACTAGAGGGCGCTGCAGCCACAGGCAGCTTCATTCAGGGCGGAGGAGCAGCGGTGCCACTGTCAGGTTTAGCAGCCTCAGCACAGTCAGAGGAGAGGAGGCTGGTTTGAGTTTCACATGCGTTTTACAATGAACAGAAGTCAGTGCTCACATGCCGAGTGCAGCCAAAGCTCAGATAAAAAGAATTCATACAATTGCAAAACTGCAGAATTAAACCTTTTTAAGCTTAAGTATAAATATAAAAAATAAATGTATAAAGACTGAGAATATCTGCTGTAACGTATGAGAGGTTCAAAGGATACATGAGCACCGTGTCCCTGAGAGCGCCGGCAGAGACGGGATAAAGGCAGTCACTACATGTTTAACCAGCTGAAACCCTGCCCTTTGACCCCGGCCCTGTCTGTCTGTAGTAACAGAGAGGGATTACTGTTCCTGGATTAAGGACAACACCATTACCTTTATCTCCCATTACAGGATTAAATCAGTTGGCTGATTTGGACAGAAAATGTGAAACAGCGTCGGTGTCACTGAGACGAGGAGTGGATGTGGGTTCTCGGTGTCGCTGGCGCCATGCACTAACTCTGCAGGATGAGAGTGTTTCTTTTGAAGTGAAAAGTTGTGCCAGGATGACGGGAGGAAGGATGCGTGTCAATAAAAGATATTACAACTGAAAATGATCAAAGAGACGAAGAGAGAGGATCCCCGAACACCAAAGCCATGGCAACACAAACAAAGCAACACAGCCCTCATACTGCAGGTGTAGCCGGAGGGATTAACAGAGTTCCCACGCGCAACAACCACCAACAAGAGATTACACAGCCTGTCATGTTGCTGAATGTTCAGTAGACTTAGAGCAAAAACAAATGTTAATATAATGTCATCAGACAGTGATATCAATAATGAATCTGACATTAGTCTGCGACTTACTGAAGCCAAAGATTTGTTCACTACATTTGAGAGTTATTGTGTTTAGCAGTTAAATGGAATCGAACCGACACATGTTGTTTTATACTCACTGGCTGACTGGTTCTGGTGTCGAGGAGAGCCTCCGTTTGGCACTTGCAGGTTGGACTCGCAGCTGCGGCTGTTCTTGACGGGCTCTGGGACCTGGGCTGCCGCCGCCGCCGAGGAGCGCGTGAGGTTGGGAAGACTACGACGCAGCTTTTCTACAAGAGCAGCAAAGGAGAGATTTAGCTCAAAGTTGACAGCATCCGGAGTCGCACAGCGAGCCGCCGAACCTCTGAGCTCTGTTTACCTTCATTCTTCACCACATTGGTCTGCAGGTCGTGCCCGTGGCCCTGCAGCGAGTGGCGAGGCTGCTGCAGGCGGCTGATGATGGGCTGAGGCGAGCCGCGGCTGTGGCTGTAGTCGATGGAACGAGCAGGGGAGCGAGAGCGGGGCGAGTTCCTGGGGGAGGCGCGGGGAGAGTGTCGAGGGGAGGGGCTGAAGCGGCTGGAGGGCAGGTGGAAGGCCGGGTGCACCGCTTCCTCCTCGTCCTCCAGACTGTGCGCATCTAACTCCTGGTCGCTGAAGGTGCTGCGCCGCAACGAGTGGCAGGAAGAACCGGAGCTCCGTCTGGATGCTGTCGCAGCGTAGTCCTGTCTCAAACCTGACGACAAACAGTTCATGAATGAAAACGCTCCGACAGAAACATGGACGACGCGACAGCAGAGGAACGGTGGGACGGGTACTTACTCTCCTCCTGCATCCGCGCCAGTATCTGAACGTCAGTGACGTCGTTGAGTTTGTAGGTCGTGGAGGAGCCCACCGAGTCCTCGTCCATTTCTGAGGTGCTCAGCTCACTGTCCACCGACGACTGTGGACTCACGGCCGGAGGATTCCTCTCTGCCGCTGCGTTTCGCTGGTGTACTGCCGAGGAAATCATCCGCAACACATATTCAACAACAACAACAACAACAACAACAACAGATTTTCAGTGATGGTTACTGAACCGCCGAGAGTCCCATACCTGCGTTCCCAGGCATTAGCTGCTGTCTGACGATGGGCACTCTGCTGGGGGTGGAGGAGGGGGAGTTGAAGCCACTGCTGTAAGGGCTGTTGGCTGCGTTTGTGCTGTACGGGCTTCCGTAACCCTGCTGGTTGTAGGGGCTTCCATACAGGCTCCTGCGCTTGTTGGCTGCAGAGTCACAAACAAAACAACATCATTTCAGTTTTGTACAAAGAGTTAGAAGCTGATTAAAGTCAATGTGCAGCTCATTTTACATCTTGATTTATACATGGCAGCACTAACATTCATGTAGATAGATAGATAGATAGATAGATAGATAGATAATTATTGAGTCATCACATATATATAATTTGATATTTTCCTGACCTGCTTTCTNATAGATAGATAGATAGATAGATAGATAGATAGATAGATAGATAGATAGATAGATAGATAGATAGATAGATAGATAGATAATTATTGAGTCATCACATATATATAATTTGATATTTTCCTGACCTGCTTTCTAACAGATCAGTGTCACATTGTTCTGATGAGCAGAGTTGAAGCTTTCAGCAGAGTTTCTTCTGAAATGTGAATCTTTGACTAATGGATTAGTTATTGAAAAATCAGTCAGATCATTTCTCCAGTATTACTGTTCTTACACTGATGGATTTGATATTACAGCCTGTCCTTATTTGCTTTGTGTTGACTAGTCATTAGTCAACACAGCAGTTGACGTACTGCATCTTTACCCTGGAGCTCATGAAAACCCTGACGAAGCCCGCCGGCCGTCCCCGCAGCAGAGTTTCCTGAGAGCCAGCAGCTTTATGAAAGCTCTGCAGTGTGCGGCCGGTCTGCTCTGGGTTTCTTTCACCGTATGCTGATTGTGGGCCTAACAGAGAGTTCCTGCATCATTAGCTGGGAAAAAAAAAACTTAACAATACACGCCATTCAAATCCATACGCGCAGTCAATGAGCGCACAAAGCTGTTCTCTGTGCGGCCCAGGGAAGCAGCAGCCAGAGGCTCCGGTCTACAGAGTCCTCGGTCTCGATCATGAGATCAGACCCGGTCACTGGGGCGGTCTGGTGGTTGGGATGGTTAGCGTATCCGAGTGCACTCATTTACCCATCCCTCTGTTCCTCTTCTCCTCTCTCGGACTGGATGTGTTTACACAGCTGGGTGGTGGTGACGGGGAAGGAGCCTTTTAAGATCAACTACCTCCTCTTTCCACATAGCTCCCTTCCACCCTCTCCCTCTCCCTGCTGCTCTGCACTCTGTCCTCCTGCATTATTAAGGAAACTCCACCACGTCCGACCCGGTGCCGTCCGCACGGATCAGCTACTGAGGAATGTCAACAACCCTGCAACATGTAGCTCGGTAACACTGAGCACTCGGTTTTCCACCGAAGCACAGACAGGTCAACGCACTGACACGGTTCACCTGCTGAAACGAACCTGGAATATTACACACAGTGGAGATTACACTGAAAGAACAGAGCGGTCAGAAGCTCGTCTGTGTTCTTGTGGCTGAAGAAACAAACAGGAATCATCCGTGTGTCCGTCTCTGTACGATGAAGCACAGGAATCACGTCACGAACACACACTGTCACTAGAAAGAGACACAGGCCTGGTCTGTTGGGATCTGCAGCTCAGGGACCAACCGAAATAGAGTGTCCTCAAATCCTCATGTCCTCAAACAAAGAGAGAAGTCAAAAGACGAGAAAGGAACTGCTCTTCCTATCCAATGTGATTGATGTCATTTCTATTCAATGTGATATGAAACTGTATTAAGAGGATTTTCTGTCTTGGCGTTGGAGCCTGTGGAAACTTGAGGCCAGTTTCCACAGGCTCCAACGCCAAGACAGAAAAACAAAAACTAAATGAGCCAGCACACAACATCCTGATAGAAAATGAACGCCTGTAGGGCTTAAATGTTGAGGAAGAAACTGAAGGCAAAGCTTGACATTGAGGTCTTATTTCGATATAAAAAAAACAAACAAAATACAACAAAGAAAAATAAGTGTCTCAAACAGCTGCAGAGTGCTTCAAGCATATCACAAGAGAGGAGCAAATAGAGAAGCTTTTATAAGTGAGAGAGATCAACACCACGAAAGGAGAAAAAGGGATAGAGCTGGAAGAGACAGGCAAGGAGGAGGTGAAGGGTGAGGAAGAACTGGGGCAGGTCAGCTGTGTGACAGTGGGAAACTGGAGTCTTGTGTGTGCGGTGGATCGACAGCTGCCTCTAAGCAGCACTATGCAAAACACACAGTTTAATTGTTCGGGCCTGGCAACACATGTTTTGACTGCTTATCAGGACTGAAATGAATCAAGTAGTGCAGTCGACTCAGGCGACTATCTCGCAGCCGTCTCCTCCCTGCTATTAGTTACATAACAGAGACACGTCATCTGGGGATATGATTTTAACAGCGTGTGTGTGGAGACAAAAGGCTCGCTCTCTGTCGACACTAAAACTTACGGCCATGTTTAAAGTATGTGCTCGTCCTGTATGAGCGTGCGCTCAGACCGACACGGGCGTAAATGTTTAGACACGCAACACGTCATATATGTCATAACTTAGGACATGAGGGAGTCTTCACTTTTTCTTTTTTCCTTTCTTTGAAATTTCTTTGACACAAACTTAACAAAAAAAAAAAAAAAAAAACGCCATGGCAACAGGGTTTCCACGCTCCTGTTAGAGACCGGGTGCGAAGGAGAGGAGCCGGGGGCCATGAGGGTGTGTCAGCGATGAGTCTGTCATTCACTCACAGTCATGAATAATCTCAGAATTTAGAGCTGAGGATTTGCCAAAGGCTTTCTGTGTGCTCTTCTTTTCTTTTTTTACAGAAATCTTTACCAGTGCTTTAACTTTGATGCTTAATTTATTCACTTTAAATGTTTCAACCACACGGCCAGTGGATCGTAAGACTTTATAAAAGGATTTTAGTTGTTCTGTCTTCTTGCAAGTGATGACACCATCAGTGCCAACTGAGGAGAGGAGTGAGAGGAGTGGGGAGTGGGGGGGGAGTGGGGGTGGTATCAGGCCCATGGAGGGTGACGTTATCCTCCTTCCACACCTACAGCGATGATATCACCACTTATGATCATGCCTCCATAAACGCCGCTCCAGTGGCCAGTTATTTGTAGTGTTAGTCAGCTGCTACACAGATCGGGGTGTGTCGTTTACAAAGGGTCACTTCAGGTGACAACGCTTTGTTCACCAGTCGTCATAAAGTCCGGCCCATTACAGGGGGACAGAGTCAAAAACTTTTTTTTTGAATTACATATTTGTGATTTCAATGTGATCTACCATCTAAAGCTTCAAAGCGTCTCTGAACGTAGCAGATGTTCATTATGAAAATTTGATCTGTGAAAAACATGTGAGGGGAAAAAAAAAAAGGTGTGATACTCAAGATAATTAAAGCAGCCGATATGAAAAGATCTCAGTATCTTTGAATGAGGAGATGTGTGTTTGTTCTGGCACAACAGAGCACCCCCCCCCCCCCCCCCCGTGCAACCTTCAGCAAGTAATTGCCCAACATGATCTAACTGTCACATGGGCATACCGTGGTCAAAACGGGAATGACCCCTCTCAGTTTAGCCGCGAGGCTTGGAGGCCCGTCCTCCTCACTGACGGACCACCTATAATTAGTGGAAGACCAGAACTACGCAGCTCCTTGTCATTCCCAACCAGATAAAATCCAACTGCACACTGAGGCTGAGAATGTGCCGCGTCAGAAAGAAGGAAAACTTACCACAGATGTAAACATGAATAAGTTAATACTGCACGTGTGCGTCTCAGCACCGAGGTGTAATCCTATGGCACAAAAATGATAAATATTTTGCATATCCCATGGTGAAGTATAAATTATGCATTTCCTTTCACACACATTGCTGCAACAAAAGAGAACAACTGGGTCCCTCTCACATATTAATCTGTAATATCACATTGATATCACAACAAGACTCCCTGAAGTACACACGCGTATTCTCACAAACCGTGGTGCCTTCACTGACCTGTGACTGCAGGTCATTGTGTCATTGATTTGTTTCTCAGGTGACACGACCTCATGTCTTATCTGTCTGCCAGGTAGACTACAGACCACAGGTACATGTGTGGAGGTCAGCTTCCCGTTAGAATAATAAGGGAAGCTGAACTACACAAGAGAACAAGTACGATGAGTCATTAACCGTCTGTGCTTTGTTTCTAAATTGCATTTAAATAAATCTATTCTTTATATGTTTTTCTTATAAATACATTTCTTGTGCTTCAACAGTCAGTTAAAGGACATTGTAAGGTTATTATAGAAGCTCACTCCGATATATGAGAACAACCTCTTATCTGTTCAGTAAGAAGAGCTATTATGAATGAGCTCTACTTTGACGGATCAATAATTACACTTTTGCTTTATATACAACAGCTGACCTGTACATAATGTCACCACCTGACTAACAAACAGCCTGTAGAAAATCGCTGCTGCTTCACTATATTTCTGTGCCTCTACATGTGTGTCAGGAAAAAGGAACTTCATTGGTTTATTGTCATTGTTATCAGCAAGTGAATTACTTTATCAATACAGATGAAGAGCACTAATGACTGATATTATGCAATTAGAAAAATGGGTAGATAACAGCAGGCTAACAGCAGGAAACTGTAGTAGACTTTAAACAAAACAACCAGAATTAAAGTCTCCAGAAAGATTTCTTGGTTACGTGTCAGCAGCGAGACAGTGAATCCATCCTAACTCCAGCGGTTTGCAGCTTGACCTTTAACATCACAAAAGACGGATTCATTTTGTTTTCATGTTTACCTGACATGGTGAGGTCCAGTCTGTGAATGAGGGAGCGCTTGGCTGATTCCATCTCAGGACTGGGGTTGTCAAGAGCTTGGCGGCACCACACAATAGGACTCAAGGCTTTTTGCAGGGGACTGTTCAGTTTCGTCTCGTAGAGCCTTGGGGGAAAAAAACAAAACAAAACAACAGTGGACAAATTTGACTCAGTATATTGCAAGTACATAAAAGCAATACCAGCAATCAATACACAACATCTTCCTCGTCTGGTAATGGCCGACCGTTACACCTATCACACCTCATATGTGATGTGACCTGATAGCGCGAAGAGGAAATGAGATTGAGGGGGACAACAAGTGTTTGGATGGGGTTTTATCACAGACTGCTGCAGTGGCAATGACACTGCAGCAGAGAGGCATTTACGTGGCTGTGACTCTCTGTTTTAATCCAGATCTGTTTCATGCTTAAGTGTTTGAAATCTTTGGGCTTATTAATTATTTAAGATTCTGCTACAAATACTACCAGTACCAGGAACAGTTCTTCAAATTTATCAATATAATCCTGACTCTTATGTGTTGATTTGTGCAGAATCCAGTGTTCTGTATCTCTGGGGGGGTGGGGGGGGTCTCCATTAGCAATGAGGAAATAACAACTTCAAGCTCCTGCTGCAGGAAAAATTCAAGAATGAACAACTGTCACCAAATCCTCTGGAAAAAGCCACCGGGTCCAGCACCAAGTCAGCTGCATTGACTGAAACTGTCAAACGCTCTTAATATTGACGGGAAAACATCAAAGTATAAAATAAAGACACGCAGCAACTGAATGGTCCACTTCTCTCTGTTTGTCAGTTCAACAAGTAATACAAATGTGTGTTTATTCTTTAACCTTTTCAGAAGAGAAGACAAGAGAAGACAAGAGAAGAGTTTCCACTCAGAAGAGGAATCTGAGTCAGCAGCTGTCAGCTCTGTTGCAGCCATAGAGGAAGTCTTTCATGATGAAAGCGGCAACATTACGGCAAAAGGCAAGCGCAGTAACACAGGCCTGAAACCTTGGGCTGCACACTTTCATTGTTTATCAACACAGCGACCACCATTCACATTTTACTTCAGCACATAGTACAGATCTTTGAGACTACTGTAGCAAACACTCAAATAATTACAGACAGCAGTCTCACTTCAGCTGCTGTGCCAGATAATTTTAATCACGCAACCACTGATCAACAATATCCAATCTGGACACTCCAATCCAATCTCCATACTCTTGTTTTTTCAAACAATTCGGAGAATGTTGTTCTAATAAAATAGAAATCTTTTCAGACACACATTGCATTGTTAACATGTTCCAGTCTGGTTTTAAAGCCCTTCATAGCACTGAATCCGCCGGGCTTTTAGATCTCACTTAGTAGACTATAGTCGCCTGGAGCATTGTGTTGGCATTGAGGACACTGCTCTGGAGTGGTTCAGGTCTTACTTGTCTGACAGACGTTTTCCTGTCAGCCTTGGTGACTCTGTACTCTCCTCAGCGCCTCTCTCTTGTGGAGTCCCTCAGGGTTCTATTCTAAGGCCAATCCTATTTTCCCAGTACATGCTCCCTTCAGGGTCCAATCTTACTAAATATGGCATCTCATTCCACTGCTACGCAGATGACACTAAGATTTACCTGCCTTAGAAACAGAAAGAACTCTTTAACTCCTATAACCATTACACGTCAACTTAGGTGGCCACACTTTTTTAAAACTTTAATGAGAGTAAAACTGGCCCCTGATAATTTGGACCCAGTGGTGCCAGTGAGATCCGTCATATAAACCTGAGTTCCCTGGAACCACATGTACACCCCACTGTAAAGAATCTGGCTGTGATGATGGACAGTGATTTTAAAATTCACATAAATTCAGTGATTAAAATCTAGCTTTTTTTCCAGCTGAGGCTCTTATTTCGTAGTACTACTTAGTCCTTCGTAGTACTTAATACTTACACCAAGGTTTCTTACTGCACTGAAGCTTTAGTGTTGTCCCTGAATTGTAAGTGGCTTTGGATAAAAGCGTCTGCCAAATGAGTAAATGTAAATGTAAAGCTAAATCGTTTTTTATCATTTAATGATTTTGAAGGGGTTGAACATGCTTTTATCTCGTCCTGACTCGACTGCTGACCCTTTATGTTGCTGTTAGCAAGGCCTCCCTCTCGCTCTTGCAGAATGCTGCAGCTTAGATTCAAACAGGAACACACAAGTGAGAGCACATTTATTTCCCCTGTACTTTTTTTTTTTACTGGCTCCCGGTATGTTTTAGGGTTTGTATTAAGATTTTATTGTTAGAAACAGCCTCTCTCTCTCTGACCTTTTAAAACAACGCATCCCCTTAGGATCACTCAGGACCGCTGAACAGTTGCATCTGGTTGTCCTTCACAGTTAAAGCCCCCAAACTCTGGGATGAGTTGTCTCTTCCTGTTAGGCTGGCCTCTACACTGCCTGTCTTAAAACAACTTATTGTTTTTATTATGTCACTGTCTTTTTATGTTTGTGTCTGTTTTGTTGTTTTATGTTTTTTGCTATTTTGATGGTACAGCACTTTCTTCAACTGTAGTTTATGTTTGTTTGTGAAATGTGCTTCATTTATCTACAGACGTGACACTCCTCTGACGACTCTGAAACAAAGATATGTGTCAAGTCCACATGCGGTAGAAAGAGTGCGACAAGCATCTATTGATAGGCCGGAGCGCTGCAGGAGCGGGCAGCATTTTAAATCCAGTCTGAGGCTAATTCAGGGATTACAGGAGTCTATGACAGGAGCTGGCGAGAGCAGGGCACTACAGAGTAATCCCAGATATCAATCTGATCCAGAGGGCTGACAAACAGCCAGGGCATAATGAGACTGGCTCTGTTGGGCATGAGTGAGCAATGTCTGAAAGTAGTCTGATGTCAAAGGCTGAGTAGCTGGCAGAGGCACACTGCTGCAGGCAACGGAGGAAAGACTTGGAACAATGGGTAGATCAAATAACAAACACTTCATGAGAAAGGATTCATAAAATACATAGTGATTCGCAGCAGCAAAGACAACCCTCTTTCTCTTTCCTGTGAGCTAGTTTCAGCTTTAAACCACTATTCTTCTTTGTTTTCCGTACATACTCATTGTATTTAGAGACCGTCTAACTTGTTATCCAACACACACCTACAGCTTGGACACAGATGATCTCACTAAACGCTGACTGCCAGATATCCTTTACTGTTGTCAAAGCCTGTGTGCTGGCATTCAACCAAATATGATCGGTAGTAGCTTTAGCCATTGTGTTGCAGAAGGAGCCGTGCCCTAACGTTGCTTATTACAGTGTCATTATCATAGGAGATGCCAATCAAGTAAACTCTTCCTGACAAGGCAAGATAACAAGCACCATCCACTCAGGAAGGCATATCACTACATTTCCATCCTAACGGACCTTCTGTAAACCCATCTACCAAGTCTCCATGACTGACATCGGCTGCGTTGGGAAGACTAATCTTAGTGTGTCTGCCTCTCCAGGATTTCCTTGAATTTGGGAACGAGAGGAAGAGATTTAGACAAATCCGAAGACTACACTTCATAAGTGTGTTTATGCAACTTTAAGAACCACACATGCTCAGAACTGGAGGAAATAATACCAACACAATGTAGTGGAAGGAAGATCACAAGAGGAGTACGGACGGACATGTGCACTATCAGGATAACTGTGATCACCAGCAGGCCTGTATGATCGCCCTCGTCCACATGACCATTTTCTCTGTTATTAACGGCCATTGTTGTTTGTAATCCCTGCAAACACAGTGATAAGCTTCATGACACTGACACAGCTTTTATTCCTGCGTGATGAGCTGAACCGTCCTGTTTCTCATCTCTTGCCTTTTTCTCACTTCGTGCTGCAGAGCAACTTGTAGCTTGTGTGCCAACTGGTGTGCTAAAAGAGAGAGAGGGGGGGGGATTCAGAGGAGGAGTATAACCATGGCTACCTCTCCCACATGGCTGCTGGGCAGGAAAAAACAACTTTCGTTTCTCTGCTGCAAGACACTGATCTCCTGCCACAGCAAGCCAATGACAAGCCAAGCAATCTGCCACATCACAACCCCCCCCCCCCAAAAAACGGTTCAACAGATGATCGAGAGGGACCTGACAGCTGAGAGCATGAGCCCCCCTCGGAGGCCTACTGATCAGTCCCACAAACAAACGCACTATCTGTGAGGTGAAGGGGTTTGTGTGCTCTGACAGTCTTAAACAAAGCATGTCTACAATGGTCGTACAGTCACAGAAGGGCATGGCATCGCCCACACGACTTGCCAAACGACATCATTCAAGTCAGCGATCCACAATGAGGCTCCTTCAGTGCAGATGACTTCACATCTCAAGCTCTACTAGGAAGGACTGTTTATGCCAGGCGTTTGTCATGGTAGCTAATGTGCAAGAGCAGCTGTGCCCGGGCAATTAAAGCTGTCAGCCCGCACCGAAGACAGAGAGAGAGAGAGAGACACAACACACCTCCCAAAGACAAGCCTGTCAAGTCACTCACCAGCTGTCCTCCTCCTCGTTTAAACAATCCATGTCTTCCAGGTCTAAGATTTCCACTTCGTCCAGGATCGATGTTTCGCCTTCGTCCGCGTAGCTCCCGGCGGTGTCTGAGTAAAGTGAGTTCATGCTCGACACGGAGGTGGCAGCCGATGCCCCCTCACATTCATACGCCCTCCTGAAGCTGATGCCGTCGTAGGACAGTCTGGGGCTCAGGCAGCGGTTGTTCTCCAGGAGCCCACCGTAGCCTCCCGTTCCGACGAACCCCACCCCAGGGAAGCCGGCCAGCCCGGCTGCCATCCCCGCTGACAGGGACGACGAGTCGTATCCGGCGCTGAGTGGTCTGTGGTTCGCTGACATCGCTCCGGACGAGGACAACATCGTGGACCGGCTCCGGAGCTGCTCGTTTTGCTGTTCGAGCTTCTTCACCAAGTCCTGGAGCTTCCGCACCTCCAAGTCCGCGTTGATATTTGAGTTGATATCCTCCATGGTGGCTCCTCAGCCCCAGCGAAAAATATGCAGTGGTCTGTGGTGTTTTCAGCCCTTTTCTTTCGCCGACGGTCTCTTTGTTTCTTCCTCACTTCAGTTTCACCTCCGCGTTAAAAGAAGAAGACACTTCGGTGTTCCGCTGACTTACGAAGCTCAACACCGTCATCTTCTCCGGTTATTCGAGCTCACGGGCAGGGTCGAGGCCATTTTCATAATACTCGTCACCAACTGTGAAAGACCAACAGGCGGCGGATGACACACGTCACCGCGTTCGGGTATCGGGTATCGGGAGCGAGCACGTAACCAACACCTATTTGCGCGCGCACAGATATCCACTCTGGCGGTACAAACGCGTTTATTTTAATTCTTTTAATTTAGCTACAGAAACTTAGAAAACCAATATATTTATTTAAATATTTGTTAATTTACCTGACTATTTATCAACGTATTACTCGATTATAACTATTTATCAATTTATGAATTAACAATACAGTGCTGATCAATGGCAAGGTGACAAAGTAGATAGACAGATAAATAGATAAAGTATCTATCTTTCTATCTATAGGCAGATACAGTATCTATCTATCTAGGGGAAATGTATGCATTAGCTCATTGTTGATAATAATATTAATAATAATAGTTAATAATAAATAAACAATAATTAAATTAGTCCACTCCCTTTGGCTGACTTGTTGTATGGCCTGATGGCAGTGGGGACAAAGGATCTGTTGAACCTCTCTGTTCTGCAGCGCAGTGAGATGAGACGTTTGCTGCGTGACCAAAATAGATCTATTAGTCAGAATGTAGTGCATTGAAAATAGAAAAATAAAAGAAACAAGGCAAACAAATATTAACACAAACATGTTTATTTTCATGTAAAAACGTATTTTTCAGAATGTTGTAAAAAAAAAAGAAAGAAATCTTTAGAACAAACAAAAGATGGAGCCAAGTCCTTTGTTTTTGAAGCTTCTTTCTGTGTGTCAGTCTAAGATATTTCCAGCGCTTCTTCTGACTCCAGATGCTCCTCAGTTTTTTGAAACCCATCTCCCACTTGCTCCCCAGCTTCACCTTCTGCCTCCACACTCTCCTCTCCCTGCCCCTGGCTGGTCATGGTAGTGTCCAGCCCCTCCTGGTCAGCGCTGTTGTTCTGTGAGTCAGCTCCCTCCTCGTCCTCATCCTCCACATCCATCTCAAAAACACGTATGTGCCTCAGATTGGCACTTAGCTGCCAGGAAAGAAAAAGTAAATGTTTGGACAGTCCTCAACATTCATTCATTCATTCATTGGTATGAGCCCGCTGGCAGAGGAGTGTGAAAACACTGAGAAATGAATCATCTGACCTTACTGATCACTGGAACAAATATAGGAACATTGCAGTAAAGTTAATTCGTGCATGATGTCCCACACTAAATTCCCCATGCACTAAAAATACATTGGAAAGTACAAGATATAAATCTGACTTACCACACAGGCCACTTTTCGGATTCCATTCACTGCTACAAACTGAGCCTTCATGCTCTCCAGTTCCCGCCACTGATTCCCCAACACCAGGCCCTGGCACGGGATGGCGCTGGTCTGCTGGTCCAACCTGACAACACAGGTGACATATGGCGTATTGTCAAAGTTAGACCTCGTCTCTGATGTTTTTAAAGCGCAGCCTAAACAACTTCTGGTCCAGCACCAAGAAAATGTTTCTCAGATTATGCATTTAGGGAGTATAGGTGACATTTTATTTGTGCGTATTGATAACTCTGAGTCTGAGGTTGGCTGTGTATTCATCAGTTTAATGTTAAACTGAGAAAAAGAAGAATTATTACTTTGAAAGAGAAATATTAGTAATAATACACACACACACCTCAGGTTGGGCTCCCAGGTGAATTCAGTCTCACAGCTCAGGGTGGAAGAAAGAGGGAGCTGAGCCAGGACACGCCTGTTGTCTTCTTCTGCTCCTTGCAAGACCACGGTTAGCATCTCATCGTCATAGAAACGAGCATCCAGGCAGCTGTAAACATAATGAGACCTAAAAAATAAAATCACAGTACGTCCTGGTAGGAACATCTTCACCAAGTCAAGGGATGAGTTTACATTTATGTCTGTTTAGCAAATTCAATGGTAGGAATGACATGAGAGACACTCACTGGGCTGCAGCATTATCATCTGCATTGTCAAGATGGTGGCTGAGGTCAACTGACACGACACTGTTGGGAATATGTCTGCAAAAAAAAAAAATTTAGTTGAAAACGGGTTAAAATACAGAAAAGAAAACCTCACACGTGTGCACATATAGTCACAGACAGGCACCTGTTTGGGTCTGTTCCTTTCCGTAATAGGTAGAGCTTGCAGGGTGAAATCTCTGGCATGCAGAACACAACATAATGCATTTTGGCCTTCTTGTCATTCCACCTGTATGACGACAAAAAACATTATCATTAATACAAACAGCTATTTTGCTGTCACAGATTACTGCGAAACTCCGGGACGTGTGTGTTTTACGTACAAAGATGGAAGTTCAAAAAGTCGTGGAGTGTTTTCAGAGCTGGAAAGAAAACAGACAATAATAAATAAATACAACTTGAATACCATTAATTTAGTCTTATTTTAAGTTTGGAAAGCAGACATCAGATCATACCTCTCTGGCACAGTGTACAGGGGCAAAAAGACGGCCTGTTTAACAGACTTCCCAATTACTTCCTGTATGCAAATAAACAAAACGATGAATAAGCAACATGTAACATGGAGGAATAATTATAATTTTCATTAAGCGCCTCTAAAGTTCTAAATCTAAATCTTTAAGAAAGTTAGAAAGTTCAGGAAGGCTTTTCAGCTCCACACAGAACAGACAATATTGCTCCTGTTCTCGAAGCCTATCTTGAAGCTACATTTGTTTAATTCCCCCTGATCTCGAGCAAAGCCGATCAGCAGACAGGAGTCTCCTAACTGCTCCTACATCTAGTAGAATAAAAAAAGAGAGACGACCAGGCTTTAACTGTCAGGGCCTGGGACATTTGTGACTACGTGCTTAATTCTGACGGCTAGAAAGAAAGATGTGCAAAGGTGTGAAAGAGCAAGATGTGAATCACTGAAAACTCACCGCAGGTTTCTGTAGACAATGCTCAATCACATTTTCCATCATCCTCTTGACGAAGTGCAAAGACTTTTGGGGATATGAAGGAAACAGCAAAGGGCTCTCTAGACAAACCAGTCAAACATGTTATCTGTTGGTTATGACAGTTTTGAACCAAATAACATCCTTTAACCTTATTCTAGTGGGTAGTTACAAAATTAGAAGTTGTGCAATCACTATTTTTCTGCACGTGTTCAGTAACGGTCACAGCTCACCCTTCAGGTATGTACTCTCCTGCAAAAAATTCAGCCACTGGTTTCCTTTGGTGTTAGGTGGAGACACGAGGTCCTCATCCTCGTCCTTCAGGTACTGCAGATGTGCATGTGAAAGAGTGAGTGAATGAAATGAATGAAAGACAGCGGCTCCTTTCAGAATAGGGCTGCACAATTAATCAAAATATAATCGCTATATGGGCAAGTGCAATAACCAAATCACAGGAGCTGCAATTTCACTGATAAATGTAAAATGTGTCACAACATTATTGTGCATTGTCAGCACCATAAGCGTTGTGGAGCTACAGAGACGTCAAATCATATTCATCCAGACGTAAAGGAAAACATGTTTGTTTGGTACAAACCCGACAAAAGTCACATTATCATCATTTTGATATTTTTTTCAGTGAAAATGTAAAAATGATCATTCCAACTGAAATCACAATCGCAATAATAATCGCAACACGAAAGATTCAGAAACACTCGAAACACAAAACCACTTACCTGACCAACTCGCTCCACATTGAAATACTTTCCTTTGCGATCAAAGAGTTCTTCATTCTGTGAAACCAGAGAGCAATTCAACTCAGTTTGTGAAAAGCTAGAAATATATTGCACAAATTGTCATTACAGTGCAATAATGCCAATCTCACCTCACTGAAATGCTCAGACAGGAAGTCAGCAACAAAGGCAATGTCCTTCTGAGTCATCTACGGGATAAATCCACATGTTAGAAATGTAAATAATAATAAGAATGTTAAAACAAATACAGTAACATTTTCAAAATGACAAATCTCTCTCTAAAGATGTTCGATGACTCACCTTGTTGAGTTCTGGTGGTACGTGCTCCTCGCACATTCTTAACATAGCTGTGGAGAGATAAAACAAAACACTTTCAGCATAAAAACAATAATTAAAACTTAATACTTGAGCTCTTACAAAGTAGTGCACGTCAAACACAATGATAAATGTCTCTGTATCATAACAACAAGTGAAACTCCTGAGCTTTCATTGTAATTCGACAGACTAACTTTGATCCTTACCTACATACAGCCACCGAAAAAAGGCTTTGAAGTTTTTCATGCTCTTGTCAATCACCCTGAATGACACAAAAATCAAAGCAGCGGTTAAACAGAAAGCAGTGAAATAACATGAACATTTCCAACACAACAGGATGTAAATGGACTCGGGAATCTTTTAACTCACTGCAGAAGTTCGTTGGCTTTCAGAGAAAAGGAACCCACCGCTGTGATAGCGCCTGAAAACACAGAGCACACATGAGATTTTTGATGATGAGAGGCGGAATTTCTACTAACCATGCAGGTTAGTGAAGTGGTACCTTCTAAAGCTACTGAATCCAGACCGAGGGGCTCGAACTTTTGCTTCCACAGGGACATGCCTTTCACCTCACTGAGGTGATACAACAGAGCCTCAGAGCCACTGCAGGGAGCAGAGAGGAGAGAAAGAGAGTCTGCATGAGGAACACTTATGCCGCAGGCAGCACTGAGGAGAGATGAAAGGCTGAAAATACCTCTGCAGGTGGCTGATCACCAGCTTCTGGATGCTGGAGTAAGAGGACTCAATGGAGTGGCCGAGCTTCTTCAGGCCCTATGACAGAAATGAAATATACACAACAAATGAGATGCAATTTACAGCTATACCAACAAATCTATCTGTAAGTCAACATCAGAGAGAAAAGAAATGATATCTGAAGCCTTTACATCAGGTCTTACTCTCACCTTGACAGTCAGCTGGTTCATGAGAAGAGCTTGTAGTTCTGGGCTGAAAGCAGAGAGCAAATGGTAAGAAAATTACAAATGTTGCATGACTTCAAACTCCAGCACTTTACAAACGGACATTATTTCTTAAAA